TTCACCCTAAACGAACTTTGGTGAATACATTTCATATTACAATTCATAGACAAGTAATCAGCCAAGAATGCGTTATTCTAGACTCTGCAGGCTTTTTGCCTTTTGTATTGTAGAAAAAATAATAACTATTATAGATATGGAAAGTTACTTAATTGTTTAAGTTATAGTTTTATCTTTTTATACTCGGTATAGACGCTTTTTTTGTCTGAAACAAGGCGATGTCATTTTATACTAACTAAAATCCGAGATCATTTTACACTACAGTCCATAGTTTTGCTTACCCATTATGATAGACCGGGGCCTAATCCCCAAGCCTGAATAATGGACTTGCCTGACTGCTAGGGGCTTTTATATCAAAAGTAGGCGTACATTCTTTGGTCTTGCTTCACTCTTTCCTTAGCATTTATTGAAGGGCTCACGTAGGAGTTTTAAATGGTAAATAATGACTGAACTTTAGGATTACACAAGCAAATACCCTGAAACGAATTGTCTCCCTCTAGTAGGCCAATAGCAGGAAAGTAAGTGATGGCGCCTCATTCACTTCAATCTTGTGTACTCAAGGACCAATGTACGCCTGAAAGTTATTTCTTTAAGAATATAATATGACCTAACTTATGCCGTATGCGAAATGTTACAATATATTATTCCTTTTTTCGTATCTAAGTAGAATTTCGAGACTACCAATAAAGCAGTATTATGAAATTTATTCACCCTATTTCGTTTAAGGTGATGAAGGATTGGTAGTAGAATTTTCCCACAATGATATGAGTAGAGCTGACGTTGCCTGGCCTACCTTGAAATCGACATCTGCCCTGTGACCCAAAGGTACTCGTGGAAATGTGTCTGAATGGTTAACGTGTCAAGCTCACATTCTGCACTGTCACGTTTCGACTCCCGCTGGGGGTGTTGATAAGACCTTTGCATGTTTGAAACTGCAGCCCACCTCAGCCTGGATGAGAACAACTCTGGGGAAAGCAAGGCTCTGTGAAATTTAATGGAAACATCAGCTCTACTCATATCATTGTGGGAAAATTCTTCTTCTACCAGTCCTTCATCACCTTAAACGAAATAGGGTAAATACATCTCATATTCCTGATTTATTGGTAGTCTCGAAACTCTACTTAGATACCAAAAAAAGGAATAATACAGTAAAATTCTGCATACGGTATAAATTAGGTGAGATTATGTTTCTAAAGGAATAACTTTCAGACGTACCTTGGTCCTTAGGTGCACAAGATTGAAGTGAATGAGGCGTCATCACTTACTTTCCTGCTAGAGGAAAATCATTCGTTTTAGCGTATTTGCTTGTGTAATCCGAAAGTTCAGTTATTATTTTTAATTTAAAACTGCTACGTGAACCCTTCATTCAATAAATGCTAATGAAGGAGTGAAGCAAGACCATTATTCAGGATTGGCGATCAGTCACCGGGTTTTGAAAACTATAACCAGTCCTTCATCACTTTACACGAAATAGGGTGAATACATCTCATATATCATTTCAGTTTGCTAAAAAGACATTCTACTTCATACCAATACTGCTTTATCGTTGTGAAAATAAAATTAAACAAATTGATCCATAGTCAAATGTTCATCATTATCTGACCTCTTGACCATATTTTCTTCAAGATTACGCAGTTACTGACTTAGGCCGTTGGATATGTTGTATCTCTTTAAAGAGTCAGGCAATTGTAAAATCACAACTTACGGTCACGTCATAGCCTGAGTTCAATTACTCTTGGACACTTACAAGCCTACCCATTGGAAAACTTACCAGAAGGCCATGTTCTGCTGCGACTCACGACATCGATGAACACTTTCAGCTCGAAATCTGACAGCCGGCGGATGTCTTTTCGCGTGAGCATATGACGCTGATCACACAGTCTGCCCTTCCAGCCGAACCAGCATGTTTCGCAGGCCGGGCCGAAAAAGTTGCCTCTACACTGGCAGGCGTAGGAGAAGAACCTGGTCGGCCAGGCGGCCCGATCGTCTACGTGGAAGACGGTGGGGACATACTCGATTGGCGCGATGATGCGGTCACAGGAGCCCATTTTGCTGCCACCACACACTTTCCCATTCGTCGGGTGTCGAGGGCAGCAGATTGCATGAGGTTTGGTCACATTACTTACGCATTGCAGAGGTAAAAATGCCGAAGCAGGCTGAAATGTGATCACAATAACTAAAACGGCCGCAAACAGAAGACTGAAGAGCGGTCGACCGGACAGCCCAACTGCATTGTTCATCGGGTGCATGATCTCTTATTCTGCTTAGAGATCCTCTCGATATTCGTGGCCAAGTGACTTGTCTTAAAGCCACCCGTAGAGTGGGCAGTACAACAACTTACTAGCAGCCTTCCTCAAACAACAGCTCTGTAGAGTTGGTGTGCGGAATTTATAAAATGCATTGATTTAGAATGAAATACATAATGATGATCGATCCTTTGATGTGTTTTGGCAGTTACCTCAGTGCTAGAATCATCGAAATTTCCTCTTCAGGGCAAGCAGTACTTCAAGCGGAATCGGGTTTTGTCTCTCCATGGCAGCCATCAAAAATGCGCAGGAAGTGTAAAAGTATGGAAGATTGATTCTTTGAGTTAAATATAAGGCAGTGAGTGCATTGAACTTGTAGGGTGTCCAAATAATGTATTCTTGTGATAAGCAGAGCTGGCCAATTTATGTGGATCAAATTTTGCCACAAGCTAGCATAAACACAGCCAGAAAAGGGATTGACTGCTGATAATTTTATCTGGATAATATCCGCATTGTTGCTAAGTGAGCATAGTGCCCCACGGACAGGGTACGTGTACGAAATACTGCATATCAAGCTTTACTGAATTCATATTTCAATAACTTTAGTTTTGTCGGTTTTACAATGTTCTCCTAGTTTGGTCGGAGTGGCAGGGAGACCTTGTAGGAGTTATACAGTCCTGCGTCATCTGGCATTGTACTCATGCTAAAATCTAGTATCGGGCAATCGAATGCTACAAGTTCCGACATTTCGTCAGCATCATGAAATTCTAGTTACCATAGAATCGACAGGGCATCACGAGTTGGGTCTGAAAATATATAATTTCCCATTAAACCTATTTGGGTTCAGATATACGTGGCCGTTCCCTCATACAAGTCTATTGTACTAAGTTTTTTGTTCTTATTGGAAAATTGTTGACAGTCTCGCAAATCACCCTCAATAAAAATAGGTACTAAAGTCGATCGTTTTGTCAAACACGTATTCACATCCTCGCATGCATGTGACTTTGGAAGGACTTGGGTTATTTTGAAAGTCACATCTGCTTTTTGACACAACGGCACCCTTGACTGAATAGAGGAGTTGCATAATATCCCCATAGCTCCAAAGCTCTGGTTTTGAATCCCATTGGGGTGCGAGGTCAAAGCTGCATTTCCGACAGGATAATAAACCCTCTGGGGAGGGAGGCTAAGTGGAAATGAATGGTTTATTGGGATCTAATCATATCAATCATCAGTCCTTAAATCACCTTGAGAGTTCTTTTTCATTCCCACGTAGATACTAATGACCCCAGAGGGGGCTTTAGAGGCAATACTTTCTGAATGAAAGTTTATTCATGCTT